TATTATTATTATTATTATTATTATTATTATTATTATTATTATTATTATATAAGCGTTTAAACAATACTTTTCACCCACTATGTACAGACAGGGGCCAGACATGAAACACTGGAGGGTATGACCATTTTGGCGTATAGCACTTATGAAATCCAACAACCCAAGCGGCCCTTCAAACCAGATTCCCCGTACCGCGAATGGTTAAAAAGATATTATAACGACACTTATATAAGTCATAATAATAACTCAAATATTTATTACAAGTTCATAATAACAATACTAATTTTTAAATATAAGCTGTACTTAAAGTAGGGTAAGCATAACTTACTTACAAGGGGGTTTTAGCTAGGAGCCGAGCTCTGCAGAGGCAAAACTTCGGCGTTGAATCTTTCTAAGAAAGATTTGTGCAGCGCTTCAGCGCTCACCTTACTATACTAAAACTACAGAAAGAGAAGTCGAATCATGATGTACCGAAATGCTCGGGGGATAAGAAGAGAAAGACTCTTGAATCAAGAGAATGGTGCAAGAAATATGAGAGCTAGAGACTCTTATTTATAGTAATTGAATTTTCAAAAACCACCCTCTAAGTTACTTAATGACCTTATAGTTATATAAACAACTAACACCCCTTTATAATACTATTTTAAATAGATTTAACGATATTTGTACTAAACTAATGTCGAAAGTACTCAACACTAGTCTTATAATGACTGTATCGTCGATACCTTTCTAATGATATATAATATGTATATATATGTGTACGTATATATGATTTATACTTTATTTTAATACGTAAATATGCTATTATAATTTGTAACTCACTCATACGAACTCCGTTTTTGACGCTATTTATATACACGCGTAGGTGGAGACGTACTCTACAACTTTCGTTTAGACTCAGTCGGCTAATTTTGACTTTATTTTTAAAGTTATATTTTTAACAGGCCGGGACAGGAAAAGTCCGTTAAAAATTCATAACTTCTTCATCCGACGTCCGTTTCGTTTGTCTTTTTACCGTTGCGCTACTATTAATGAGATCTTGAATTCTCATTTAGGTTGCGTTGGCCAAAAATCGATCGATCTAAAATTCGAATTTCGGGTTGTGCACTGCTATGCCAAATCTTAGAAAAATCATAACTTCCTCATACGAAGTCAGATTTGTGCGTTATTTTTATGCATGCTCTCCGTTTAACGTATGCTATGACTTTCGTTTAGATCGCTAAGGCTAAAAAGCACTTTATCATAAACTCACTTTTTACGTCACGCAGTGCCGTGCCGGTTTTGCCGTAAAACTTCGACATGCCATAACTTCTTCGTTATAACTCGGATTCCGACGTTCTTTATATGTACGAAATCCTTGTGAAATATTCTAAAACTTTTATTAAGACTATTCATTCTAAATAATCTTCTATCAAAAAGTCGTTTTCGACACTTATTGTCTCTAAATTGACTAGTCCGGATCTACGGGCGTTACAATGCATGCATGAGACCTAGAATCTTATAAAGCTTACACCTTTTAGCCAAAGGAGGCCACAAAATGCTCAGATCTAACAGGACTACCCATGAAACAACTTAACTCCTTAGACAACCCAACAATGAGCCAAAAATCATAACAAAAGCCGATAAGAGAAGATCTAATCAACAACAAAGCAAGGTATGAACTTGGTACCTCTAGAAGACTGCAACAAGTGGTGAGATTCTGGATCTATATGACCTTCCTTCCAATCTAGGCACCTTCAAACTCCAAAGCTCTTTCAAATGAGCACAAAAATCCACAAGAATCCACTCAAAACTTCAAGAACACCACCAAGAAAGCTCAACACTCGATTTAGGGTTTTAAATAACAATGGAGGCTGGTCAAGGGGAGTTAAGGCCTTTAAGTAGGGTGCAACACCCTAAAAATTAGGGTTTCCTTCCCAGATGCCAACAGGTCGTGTTGAGGCACCTCAACACGCCGTGTGGGCTCATTAAACTCCGCGACCAAAAATATCTCAACACGCCATGTTGAGGCTCCAACACGTTGTGTCCCAAAGAGAAAACATAAACAACTTGGAAATAAATTCATACTAGGAAATCAAGTGTTACATCTGGTGGCAACATCACAAGGGTTCTGAATGGCAGTGGGAGCCGGAGGATGAGATGAGGGTGAACTACCCGGAGTTATTTGGAGCAGCGAACTTCGAGGACGAATTATGATTCAAGTGCGGGTGAATTGTAACACTTGAATTTGGTAAGTTTCGTATTTAACCCTTGTTAATCAAAAAGTTTGCAATTTGGTCCTTAAGCTAGTATGTGAGGCGTACTAGGTGGTACGCTTAGCGTACTAGCTCGTAGTTGATCGCGGATCCCATCCACGTACGTTGGGCGTACGTGGAGTACGCATGACGTACGTGAGCTTTAATGAAACCCTAATTTTTTGGTTTTGCACCATATTTAAACCTTATGATAGCCTTATTTGGTCATGTTTAGTCAGCCTCCACCTTCCTTTGTCCATAAATCGAAACCTTACTGTGTTCTTGTGTTTTTTGAGCCTTAAAGAGTGTTTGTTGATGGTTTGTGAATGAGAAAAAGAAGAGGGCATTTTGGAGTAGGTTCTTGAGCTTGAAGATCCGGGGATAGCTCATCATTTGTAAGCTTTTTAAGGTAAAAAGCTCACATCTTGATGATCCATGATGCTATATCTAGTTATGTTGTTATTTCATGCTTTTTGAGTCCTTGGAGTGATTGATGAGCTTCTTGACTCATTCCAGAAGTTTTGGTGTTAGATCTAGGTTTCTTTTGGTCCCTTTATTCATAAAAATGCAAGCTTTATGGTGTATCTTGGACCATGCATGTGTTAAGACATTTGTTAAGCTCTTGAGCCCCATTAAGCCATGCATGTGTGTAAATTTTCCTACTTTACATGATAAGTGGTCTTATAGAATCAGATTCGAGAGTTTGGCTTGAAGTCTCAATGGATTAAGTGCTTAATGAAGTGGGTTGGCCAAATGGGGAGTACGTTGGGCGTACCAAGCCGATATGTTGCGCGTACTAGCCGCAAACGGTGTACACTAAGCGTACGAGCTGAGTACGCCCAGCATACTCAGCAAGTGGGCTTCGGATATTGGGCTTCTCGGTTTTGGGCCCATGTTTGGACCTTAGGAGATTAGGGTCTTGTTGAGCCATCAGATTTCTATTGTTAGGCTGATGTCATTATGTTGGGTTCTTTTGGTTGAAGGCCCGTGAAGATATTTGGGTCTAATTTGGAAGATTGGGCCATAACTGGGCTTTAGGTGACTATTTTTGGAATTGGGCCTTTTTGAGTAGTTGGTTTGGATCTTGGCCTTGGGCCAAGTTAGGTAAAGGGTAAAATGGTCTTTTACCCTAGTTTAGACTCTTAGTTATGAGTCGGGATCCGATTATTAATTGAATATTATTTTATGATGATAGCACGGGGATTTCGAACCAGCAGCCAGAGATTTATCTGTGAACCCAACAGCTTTAGGTGAGTTTCCTTACTGTGTTTAGCAGGTCGAAGGCACTAATGTCGGCTCATGGTTTATTATGTTAGGATGCTAGATATTTGCGTGACTTTTGCATGTGTATGTGTTGGTATGTATACTGAGCGGGGCTCGATGCCATGCGAGGCCCGATAGATGTATTGTATGCTATTATCTTTGTGATTATCGTATGTGTTAGTAGGATTATATGTTTATATGTGTATCGAGTGGGGACAGATGATTGACAGGTCTGTAAACCGAGTGGGGCTCGATGTCGGGACGTTACATCCTTCAACCACTGCATTTCAGCCTGGTTCTCTGTAATCTTCTGACCATATTCACAGAAGATGGAATGGAGCACATCGTATTTGATAACTTCATGGGAATTTAAAAGAGTCGGGTGAAGGTGGTGGAGCTGACATTGCTGCTATTTTAGGGTTCTTGTCGAGGAGTGTTTGGCCGAAAAGGGTAAACAAGTTTCATATTTGTTTTGCATAAAACACCACATGGGGTTGTCATCGTTTAATACATATACCTAATCCACCGATTGAAAATAGTTTAAGGGTTGTTTGGTAGTAGGTGGAAATTAGCGGCGGTAATTAATCTATGCATGTGTGTCATTGAGTCAACTCAGTAGTGACTTAGCAGGTTATAAGTTTTCACTCACCTACTTATTTGGCAAGTGACTACGCATGAATACCTATTAAAATGGGCAAAATGACATTTTCAATCGGTAAAACACAAGTACATGCCCTTTAAATGCAAAAAAAAAAAGTTACGAGGGACCATTTAAACCAATATACTAAAGTTTATTAGGCTACAATGACAATAACTCATATAAATATAATTTTAGATTATCCTTTTTTATACTTTTTATATTTACATAAATATTCCGGTTAATACCTATAGTTTATGATTAAACATTTGATTTTTATCCAATGTGTATTTTACATAACTTATTTGTATATTATAAATTATAATATATGATTATTTTTTTTTTTGTAAATTTGAATATAATGACACAATCATTTTAATTATCTTTATATTTTCATAAAGATCATTGCATTATAATATGTATTTAACTAAAATGTATTGAAAAATTTTCAAGCTCTCATATAATGTATTAAATTACTTCTAAAATTACAAATGTTAAAACAAAAACAAAACAATATTGTATTATTAATTTATTTGTCTTTTTATATATAAATATGACTGTTAGCAAAACCAACTAACACGAATAATGTTTTGTTTGGCTTATTTCAGTTTAGCAAAATTGACGCATAATTATTTGTTCATTTAACAACAAATTACATTGTTTTGTTCTCTCGTTAACATATTAAACAAACATAAAAAGAATAAATATAAACAAGCGAAGATAAAAGAGCATACATAAACGAACGTAAATGATTGTAAACAAACGAAACAAAAATATATTAACAATTAACGAAAATGAATATATATATATATATATATATATATATATATATATATATATATATATATCAAGGTTCTAAAAAGCTCGTCATGGCTCCGCCATGGCGCGTCATGGCTCCAAGGCTTGTATGTGCCGCCAAGCTTTACCAAAACGCCGTCTTGACTCATATATGTTTATAAAAATGAATAATAGTTGAAAATACATATAAAATATGAATTATATACAAAATTGCCGCCTTAAGTCACGCCTTACAAACAACGTGGTTCGCCAAGGCTCGGAAAAGCTTGAGACTTGACATTGCCGCCAAGTCACGCCTTACGTTATTTAGAACCTTGATATATATATATATATATATATATATATATATATATATATATATATATATATATATATATAGGGTGAGGTTCAATAGAGATCCATAATTAACCAATGAACCAATCTTTTTTTCAACTTTTAGAACTTATTTTTTATCAAAAAAAAAAAAAAAAAACTAAAAATACAGAAATTCATAACTTTTTATCCTTTTTCCAATGATATCAAATTCGATTTTTTTTTTTACGTCAAATTCACAATGTGAATCTTTGAAAATTCACAATGTGAATCCGGATTCACACGGTGAATCCGAAAAATATTTTTCACATTCATAATATTAATATATGAATTTAGATATTTTTAGATTTTTTTTTCGATAAAGAATAACCTCTAAAATTAAAAAAAGATTTGGTTACTTGAAGAACAAATAATTATGGTTCTCTATTGAATTTTTCCATATATATATATATATATATATATATATATATATATATATTTCAAAAAACCTTTTAACAATATTAAAAATAGATTAAAAACGTATAGTGATTACGTCAAAAACATCAACAAATATAAGTGAACGAATTTAAATGAATATTCAAATAATTTTTAATAGTTATTTATTTATTTTTTGATTATATAATTTTATAAAAGTATAAGTGATATTTTTGATAGGAAATAGGAATAGAAATAACAATAGAAATTATTACACAAGTGGGCTATGAATTCTATGATAAAAACTAGGCATTACGATTTTATTCGTGTGGTTAATCGATAAAAACTAGGCAGGTGTACGAATTTATTTAACACCCCTTTATGCCCTAATACCTTCGACACCCACACATCGCATACGCTCTCCAATTCGAACCTCAGGCCACCAAACTTGAGCGAATCCCACCTCCGGCCACTCCAGTGAGTTCTTCAGTCGGTAAGCTTCTCTTCTCCATATCTGAAATCGATTTTCTTTCTTCTCAGAAATTGATTTGTTATGTGAAATCGATTTTCTTGCGTCTCTTCTCCATCTCTGAAATCGATTTGTTAAGTGATATTTTCTCTTAAATCGATCTGGAATATCATTTTCAAGACAAAGTGGCACTGCTGAATCTGATTCTCTGATCTGATGTGTTTGTTATGTGATTATGAATCTGATTTTGTTTGCTGAACTTCGATTCTCTGGTGTGTTTTGTTATATGATTATGCTTTGAATCTGATTATGCGTTAATATATCATGGTCCAAGCGACCGGGAGTAGTTGAGAAGCCTGTTTCACATGATTCCTACACAACAGCCACACTGTAACCATTAACTTACAGTAGACTAATATCATATTCAAAGATTAATATCAAAAAGATTACTTATGGGAAAAACATACATATGCAAATTCAAAGATTAACATCATATTCTCAAATCTCAAATCTGATTCACTTTCGGGGACTGCTGAATTGTTCAAGAAATTTTATGACAGATAGACTACAGAATTAAAAGAAATGACATAACCATATCCAGGCAAAAATAATATATTCAAGGCCGAGACAAATACATAAATGTTAAAAATCAAAATAGAATCAACAAGAAAGAATCTTAATCAAACGATTACTAGATTATCCATGGTGTATATCAAACACTACCTACCAATTGACATGAACATTGCACGAATAGCATATTTAAGGCCAACACAAATACATAAATGTTAAAAGTCACGATAAGAACAAGTTAAATATTTAAGTAATCTGGCTTTAGTATTACATTTTGGATTTAGAGCAAAAATGTGCTTTGAAGTTTGAATATGTTAATTTGATTAAGATGCTCCGGTATTTTTTTTCTTTTCATAATTGACATTCATACAATATGAGCTCTTAAAGTCTTCCTGTTTTTAGTTTATATGTATTATAAGTGGCCTATAATGAATAAATGATCTTTGAATCTTTTTTTTTGCTTGTGTTCTTTAGGGTCTAAAATGGCAGCAACATCAGCAAGTGCCCTTTCAATCGGATCAACATCTCATGCCTCCAAACCTACCCAACTTTTACAACCCAAAACATTTGGTGTCAATTTCACCTCCCGAAACAATCTCAAATCCTCATCCTTCCTAAACAAGGAAAGCACCGCAGCTCTCCATTACTCTCTCACCCAAAAACCCCAAAACCACCACCAACCACCACCATCCGCCCTCAAAATCCAAGCATCTTTCAAAGTCGCCATCCTAGGTGCCGCCGGCGGAATCGGCCAACCGCTCGCCCTTCTAGTCAAAATGTCACCGCTAGTCTCCGACCTCCACCTCTACGATATTGCAAACGTGAAAGGTGTAGCCGCCGATCTCAGCCACTGCAACACCCCATCCCGCGTCCGTGATTTCACCGGAAACTCTGAACTCGCCGCCTGTCTAAAAGACGTCGATGTCGTTGTCATTCCCGCCGGAGTCCCGAGAAAGCCCGGAATGACACGCGATGACCTTTTCAACATCAACGCCGGAATCGTGAAAACCTTGATAGAATCCGTAGCCGATAACTGCCCGGACGCGTTCATCCACATCATCAGCAACCCGGTCAACTCAACCGTCCCGATCGCCGCCGAGGTCTTGAAGCAGAAAGGCGTGTACAATCCCAAAAAGCTCTTCGGTGTCACCACTCTTGATGTTGTTCGCGCCAACACTTTTGTTTCTCAAAAGAAAAACCTAAAACTTATTGATGTCGATGTCCCGGTGATCGGAGGACATGCCGGAATTACGATTCTACCCTTGCTTTCGAAGACAAAACCGTCGGTCACGTTTACCGAGCAAGAAGCGGCGGATTTAACGGTTAGGATTCAAAATGGCGGGACGGAGGTTGTGGAGGCGAAGGCGGGGGCGGGGTCCGCCACACTGTCGATGGCGTATGCCGCCGCGAGGTTCTTGGAATCGTCACTCCGGGCGCTTGATGGTGATTCCGATGTTTACGAGTGTGCGTTTGTTGAGTCGGAATTGACGGAGCTTCCGTTTTTTGCTTCGCGGGTTAAGCTTGGGAAACAGGGAGTTGAAGCGGTGATTGGGTCGGATCTTGAAGGGTTGACTGAGTATGAGGAGAAAGGTTTGGAGGCTTTGAAGGTGGAGCTTAAGGGGAGTATAGAGAAAGGTGTGGCTTTTGCACAGAAGCAAACAGTTGGTGTTTGATTCATGTTTTTGACTTTTGAGAGGAAGGTAATAAGATTCGGCATGTTTTACTTTTTTTTTTTAAAAAAAAATCTCCAATGCTCAGTTTTGTAGGAACTTGGTTGTTGTAGCATTTGTTGTTTTCTATGTGTTTAACTAATTTCTGAAATCTGAAACCGGTTTTGAATGTTCGGGGTCTGAAATCTATATGTAGTACTATTATATGATAGTTGAAGTTGAAATGAGAATGAGAATCTAAAAATTCAATTTGCAATTTTTGGATAACATTCATTCAAACGGCCGTGGTTTGTGGTTTGTAGGGGTCTTATCAATTTGTAACCGCGTACAAATCACAATCGGATGAATTTGATTTAGTGGTTGTGATTTAGTATTTGGTTCTTACAAAGATACATAAATTGTATATAAACATATTTATTTTGTTTAAAGTAAATGTTAAATATTTTTCAATAATTAAGCAAAAACTAAACTTATTTGCAAAATAAAATAAATAGAAAAGACACTACGAAATATTAAAAAAGAATTATATTATAATAAAGTAATATTTTAGTTATCTTTTGAAATTAAGAAAAGTCGGTATTGAAGTTTTAATATATCTGAAAAGTCAGTAGCTTTAATCGATCCTTCGAATGAATTGAACAATTGAAAAAAGAAAGTCTCGTCCCTATGGAACCGAAAGAATCAAATAAAGGAAAAATTATTTCATTTCTTTTGTGGCATAAATGATTAGTCATTTATTTTATTTTTAACTTTTACGTAATTATTCATTAAACATAAGAAATGTTCTTGATTAAATAAAGACCTCATTTTACAAAAAAGAAATCATTAGACTAAAGAGGAATGATGTCGTCTTTGTCATGGACATCTGACCTTCATCCAAACCCCATTTAGGATTTTACTATTGTTGTGATGGTGGTTATGACAAGAAAGTGAGACAATTGATGGTAAGCAGTGTGTAAACGAGTCAAATCAAGTCCGAGTCTAAATAAGCTCGTGCCCGACTCGTTTAAATTTACAAAGCTCACGCTCGAGTCAGTTAACACCCTAGCTAAAATAGTGAAACTCAAGTTCGGCTCGCAAAAAATCTCACACACAAGTTCAAGCTCGACTCAAACCAAGGCTCGATTAGAGTTTGGCTCGTTTGTCAAAAAAAAAAAAAAAAAACCCAAAAGCTCAACTTGTTTTCCAAGAAAGACATACCAAAACTTCAACTTGTACTAAACCGAATTAAAAAAATCAAGTCTTACAAACACTGTTTGCTTTTTTGTTAAAAAAATTTAAATTTAGAACGAAATTAATATTCATTCCTTTAAATCATTTAAGAAAACCAACCATGCGGTTTTAGATTTTATGAAATCTCGCCAACCACATTTTTAGTTTGCAGTTGTAGCTCATGCTTCTCCTCTTATATAAGCTAGATATGAGCAATTTGGTTATCATTCCAAACAAACAAAATTAAATAGATGGTCCTTGTGTGGCACAAGAGACTAAAGATAGTCCTTATGAGGAATTTTGAATGAGTATGGTCCTATGGTTCCCAATTGTTGCACGGAGAATCCTTATGACCAACTCCGTTTGATTTCTGCCGTTTATTAACATCACACGAGGGTATTTTGATCTTTTTCTTTATCACACGATCTGATTATATTCATAAATGATCCTTACAATGAGCTATCATTTACCTCACCCCCAAGAAATCCACCCTTTCTTCTCCTCTCTAATTTTTTCATCTTCATCACTTCGAAACTTAAACGAAAACTAGGGTTTTCATCTTCATCTTTTGCGATGGTTCTAACTTTGTGGAATGTCCGTTCAAAATGCTAAGAAAATCCTAACTTGATCAAAGTTTACGGTGAGTGATCAGTTAACAACTTCAATTTTGTTAAATTTCCCATGTTTTAAACTTTTGAGACTTCATTCTTTCCTCGTATCATTATTTATTTGTTTTTCAATTAGGTTAAGTAATGTATGCACATTCAAAATTTACCATGGGGGCATGTTCACAAAATACACAGGAAGACGTTACGTGGGTGAGAGTATTGACTATGTTGACTACGTGGACATTGACGTGTTTTCAGTACATGAGTTAGACGATATGCTAGAGGAGATAGGTTATATCAATGGTGAGCCTATCTACTACCACTTCTTGATTCTAGAGATTGAAATCGATTATGGGTTACTTCCTCTAGGTAACGCCTCAGACGTACTTCTGTTAAGTAAGCATGTCTCTAATCATAAAGAGATTATGGTGTATACTGAACATGGAACTACTATGTCTCCAAATAAGGTCGTATTGGAAGAGATAAACGAGCCTATTTCTCCTGAACTCGATCGGAAAAAGTTTATCAGTACAGAGGTAGGATCCTGCAGTAGAAAATTGGATTTGAATGAGAACTGTGACTTTTTTAGGACCATTGTACCTTTTGGACATTTTGTTGGAGATGTAATGAAAGATGTTGGTGTTCAAGCTGCAGGTGAGAAGCTTAACAAAGTCCAAGATGTTGGTGTTCAAGTTATAGGTGAGAAGCTTGGTATACCCATTGATACTCTGTTAGATGAATTTGATCCTTTCTTTTATATGGATCATAATGATTACTAATAAATGGGGGACAAAGATTCAGAATATTGTGGTGATAGGGTGGCAGACAATGAAGAAATTGGGGATGTTATTAGTGATGAGAGTAATATGGATGGAAGTATAAGCAAGGATAGTGACTATTTAGTTGATGAACTTAATATGGTGGAGGATGTCGAAGTGGATATGAAAGACTTCCACAGTGGTGTGGAGAATGTTCTAAATCTAGATAACCACCAATCATTCAATGCACATGATATGTCATAGTTGATGAGGATTTAGAGGTGATAGATACACATTTGTTTCAATCGACTGGTGTAGAAGAAGACGAGAGGAAGAAGTTGGTGAGAAGGTTAAACAAACCAACCACGTGTTCATCAGGAGTAGTACATGAAACTGCATTCCACATTGGTCAAATATTTAAATCCAAAATAGAAGTGAAGGCCTACATTAAAATGCATTCAATTCAGAGTAATACTATTATCTGGTATATCCTTAACAAGCAAAAGAAGCATCATCTTCGAACTAATATTATTAGCATCTTTTGTACACATACATGAAAAAGAAAACCCAGCTAAAAACAAGCATCATCTTTAGTTTTTTTTGCTTCCAAACTTGTTTCCAGCAGAGATTCTTCAAGCGTGTTCATTGATCTTAACAAACCTGGAATGATAGCCACAACTCTACGACACATGGGCTCATCAAACCATGCAATGAAACCGTAAGTGTTACGACATTTCTAAAACATACGACATGTATTGAGATCTGTCCATGATGTCACTATCACCGCTTGCCTTCCACAAAACAATTCACCATTGTTAAGCAAAGTTTCTTAGAAAAACACAAAAGAGAGAAGAGATAAGAGAAATAGAATAATTAAAGAAGTAAATAGGGTCTAATCTTTATAGGGAAAATCTTTTGCAGGTGTTATAAAGATATGAGAGAGAAGGGATAAGCAAAAGACCAAAATACTCTCGTGTGAGGGTCACGTGATTTTGATAAACGACATAAATCAAACGGAGTCGGTCATAAGGCCTGTCCGTGCAACAATTGGGAACCACAAGGACCATACTCGAAAGACACTCATTGAAGTGTTTGCATCAGGAGTCCCAAAGGGATGGGTAAGCTGGCAACTTACTGTTGCATCCCCTTCGCTTGCCGGGGAGTAATGACCCCCGACAAATACGCTATACTGACCGATGTTGGCTCCATACCCTGTAAAGGACTTGGGAAGAAGCCCCTAAAAGGCTAATTCCCATTTCCTTACATACAGGGGAGGTGAAGTGGAGGGAGGGCAACCCTCGCCCCTATAGGTGTATGGGTTGGTGTTCCGGAGTTGGGACAACAATGTTGTATCTGCGCACTATCTCTGAACAACAGTGACCATCCGTGATAATAATACAATAATAAGGGTGGTAATTGGATTAGTATTGGATAGCCATTTGAATTTACATTGGATTGCTTTAGTTCGATAATCTATTAGATTTTCAGGATGATTCAATAACTTATAGGATCTAATTGGATTTTGAATTTTTGAAACCGATTCAGTCCAATTATAATTGGATATCTTATCCAGTCGATTGGGTTGTAACTCATCAGTCGGTTTGAATGGAATCGGTTAAGTTCTACATACCTATAATAAAAATATAAATTTGTTATATAATCATTATTATTATATAAGAAAAAAATAAAATATTTTTATTAAAAGATAAAACTAAAATTATAAAAGAGATATGAATAGATATACGGATATACCTTTCAAAACCACATAAACAGATGTGAAATGTTACCTTTGAAAACCGCATAAACAGATGTGCACCGTTGACCAAATACATCATTCGTCAAATTTTGTCTATTATCATCTATTAAAAACCCGATTTGACGGGTTATTGGAAATATCTAGACCCAATAGAGACCAACACACAAACTCTCTCTAGGCTTACTCTAACTTGACAACTATTGTGATCAACTTCGTACCCCATCCTTCTCTCTCTAAAATTGCTGTTGTAACACTCGAAGTTGGTGAGAAATTATTTGTTACTTTTTAGATTTTGTCACTTTCTTTCAGTTTCCTAGGTAAATTCTGAAAACGAACCCTAGATAAATTCTCTTCTTAGATTGGTGTTGATTGATGACTGCCCCTGATAAAACGGATCGAGTTATGCAGAATCTTAAGTATGTGTACCTGAATCGAAGGTAATTGCTTGATTTCTCTGTGTTATAGATATTTCAACCTTTATGTAACTGTGATTTGCAACTTGTAGCGCGAATTTTGTGAATTTCTGATCTGATTTGATAATATGGAATCCCGACGAATACGGTTACTGTGTTAACACTAAACATTGCTAATTGCTAATTGCTAATTGCTAATTGCTAATTGCTAAATGACTTCGTAGTTCTCTATGAAACTGTGATGTCCTCAAAACTCTACATGAATTGATTTGATTTGATGAATCTAGTAAAGATAGACGCTTGTTTTCAATGTTGTTTGGTTGAGTTTTGGTTTTATCATTGGTGTAGGTGATATCCTGCATCCATGTGTAGATTCCAAGGTTGAAGTGACAACCTTTGTGAAATTTCCACTGAGCTAGCAAAAATCCAAGGTAAATGTACCTCACTTCTTTCTGAATAGCACACGTCTGATGAACACGTATGTGTTCATAACTGTAGTAGAATCTAATTTTTCAGATCTTATCGAAATTGATTGAAGTAAATTTGCTTCCTTTTTTCATTCATATTTCTTATGGATTATGTTTAAATGTTCTTACGTTTTGATATATCATCATTTGTTTTTCTTTCTTCTTAAGGTACATTGAATATAATGTCTGTAAGCCGGGATGGAAGTCGTGACCTTGGTAGCCAATCAGACGACAGCTTTCATTATGAAAGACCACACGTAGAGCCTATTTATGATGCATTCATATGCCCTCTTTCAAAACAAGTCATGAGAGACCCTGTTACTATTGAAAATGGACAAACTTTTGAGCGAGAAGCCATTGAGAAATGGTTCAATGAATGCAAGGAGAATGGAAGGAAGCTGGTGTGTCCCTTAACATTAAAAGAACTAAAAACAACAGACATGAATCCAAGTATTGCTTTAAGGAACACAATTGAAGAATGGAATGCTAGAAATGAAGCTGTGCAACTTGACATGGCTTCCAAATCTTTATCTCCTGGTAGTTCTGAAAGCGATAGTTTGCAGGCTTTGATGTTTATTCAGCAACTTTGTACTAAAAATCTTTCAAGCAAACACATTATTCGTAATGCTGAGCTCATACCCATGATTGTTGAGATGTTGAAGAGCACCAGTCGTAAAGTCCGGTGTATGGCTCTTGAAACTCTTCGAGTTGTTGTAGAAGATGATAATGATAATAAGGTAAAACAATTGATATATCCACAACATTGTAATCTATGCATTTTATTTGTGTGTGTGATGTGGTCCCTTTTTTCTGTTTTGCAGGAGATAATGGCTGATGGGGATAAAGTGCGCACAATTGTGAAGTTTTTGTCTCATGAACCGTCTCAAGAAAGGGAAGAAGCTGTCTCGTTGCTCTATGAGCTCTCAAAGTCTGAGGCTTTGTGTGAGAAAATCGGTTCTGTTAATGGTGCAATCCTTATTTTAGTTGGAATGATAAGCAGCAAATCAGAAAATCTTTTTATTGTTGAGAAAGCTGACAAAATTTTGGAAAATTTAGAGAAGAATGAGAATAACGTGAGGCAAATGGCTGAAAATGGAAGATTGCAACCCCTCTTGACACTTCTCCTTGAAGGTATTACATATAATACAACAACAACAACAATACCTCACTATATCATCTCATTAAATCATTTTCAGGTTCCTCTGAGATAAAATTATCTATGGCTTCATACCTGGGTGACCTGGCGCTTAGCAATGATATAAAAGTCTTTGTAGCAAGAACCGTAGGCTCATCACTAATCAACCTCATGAAAACCGGTGACATGCAATCACGAGAAGCTGCTCTCAAAGCTCTAAATCAAGTCTCCTCATGTGAAGCAAGTGCAAAAGTTTTAGTTGAAGAAGGTATACTTCCACCTCTAGTCAATGACCTCTTCACGGGCCCCAACCGCCTTCCTATTTTACTAAAAGAATTATCCGCCACAATCCTCGCAAACATCGTAACCTTCGACTGCGATTTCAATTCCATCCCCGTGGGGCCCAACCACCAAACGTTACTCTCCGAAGACATAATCCACAACCTACTCCACTTAATCTCCAACACCGGTCCATCCATCGAGTGCAAACTCGTTCAAGTCCTCGTCGGAATCACCAATTCCCCCGTCACTGTGATTCCGGTCGCCAACGCAATCAAAAGCTCCGGCGCCACCATAAGTTTAGTCCAATTCATCGAAGCCCCACAAAAGGATCTCCGCATGGCTTCGATTAAGCTTCTCCATAACCTCTCATTACACATTTCCCAAGAATTAGCAAACTGTCTATGTGGGCCCGCCGGTCAACTCGGTAGCCTGTTTAAAGTGATATCGGAAAACATCGCGAGCACCGAAGAACAAGCGGCCGCCATCGGAATCGTGGCGGACCTTCCGGAACAAGACGTCGACGTCACGCGACAAATGTTAGACGAGCGTGACTTCGAGATCGTTGTTTCTAGAACAAAAATGATCCGACAAGGAGAAACGAGAAGAAGCCGTTTCGTAACACCGTACCTCGAAGGACTTGTCCGTGTCCTTTCGCGGATCACTTTTGTTTTATCCGATGAGCCGAGAGCCGTCGCGTTTTGTCGGGACCACGAGCTCGCGGCGTTATTCACGGAATTACTCCAACAAAACGGGCTCGACAACGTGCAAATCGCGTCCGCTCTCGCGTTAGAAAACCTCTCGCATGAATCAAAAAACTTAACGAAATTACCCGAGATTCCGCCACCTGGATTTTGCGGGTCCGTTTTTCCTTGTTTGGGGAAAAAACCGGTGATGACGGGGCTGTGTAGGGTCCACGGGGGAGCGTGTACGCAACGGGACACGTTTTGTTTGTTGGAAGGACAAAGTTTAGCAAGATTGGTGGCGTTGTTGGATCATACGAATGAGAAGGTGGTTGAGGCTTCGTTAGCTGCTTTGTCGACTTTGTTGGATGATGGGGTGAATATAGAAGAAGGGGTGAGTGTGTTGTGTGAGGCTGAAGGGATTAAGCCGATTCTTGATGTGTTGTTGGAGAATCAGACTGAGAATTTAAGGAGACGAGCGGTTTGGATGGTGGAGAGGTTGTTGAGGACGGAGGATATCGCGTATGAGGTGTCGGGGGACCCGAATGTTAGTACAGCGATTGTGGATGCGTTTCAACATGGAGATTATCGGACACGACAAATTGCGGAAAGAGCACTTAAACATATTGATAAGATACCTAACTTTTCTGGGATCTTTCCTAACATGGGTTGAATCTCGTTTTGGTACATATAGATAAGGTGGTGTTGTACTTGTATGATTTTGTTGTGATTGTTAATTGTTCATATTTATTTCACATGATTTTCCATGTATTTTATGTGGAGTTGGAATGTGGTGGGTAAAAATTGTGCAGTTCTTTTCTCTCTCTAGGATTTTGAGTAATTCTATACGAGTGAGGATAGTAAAAGGTTGTCTATTGTTATTTGGATTCAGTTAAGATTTAAGACATTTCTTGTAGTTGTAACTTGTAAGTATATTTTTCTTGATTTTGGTTGAGTTAATCATTACGCATTAGTGATTAGTGTGTTTATTTTGTAAATTTTGAACTTGATTCTACTTGTTACTACCAAATCCTAAGACTCGGCCCAAGGTAAATTCGTTACTTTATTTAGCTAAAGTTCGTAGTGTGATTTAGTGGTTTTAGGAGCCTTCTTACAGATTTAATCTTACTTTGAGAAAGGTTTGAGTTTTGTTACACCCTGCTCCCGAGTTGTAGCAAAGAAAAGAAGAGAAAAGAAAAGAAAGTAAAGAGAGAAAAGAAGAGAAAAGAAAGGAAAACAAAATTTTCATTTGTGCTCCCGAGTTGAAGAGAAATGGAAGGAAAGTTAAACATTTTGTTCTTTCTTTTCAAATCCTCCCAAATCGGAAAGAAAGTTAGGAGAGAAAGTTTTCCTTCCATTTCCTTTCTTTAATGAAACTCGGGAGCACCAATCTCTCTTACTTTCCTCTCATTTCCGCCCATTTCCTTTCTTTTCTCTCCTTAAGTTGAACTCGGGAGCGGGGTGTTCTAACAAACATTAATTACTCGAAAAATATCTGAAATCAAAGATATATATATTCTTGCATATTCACTAAAACAAAAGTGGGCATTTGGTCTAGTGGTATGATTCTCGCTTAGGGTGCGAGAGGTCCCGAGTTCAATTCTCGGAATGCCCCTTTTTTTCGTTTTTAAATGGATATGGCTTGAAAAAGCTCCATGAAAATTGGAGTTAGTTCTTATAAACTTGAATTTAACCGGTTACACGTTTTCAGCAAACAAACTCTAAGTCACATCAAGTCAAGCTTTAATAATATAATTTTTTTTGTGTTTTCATAGCTTCGAAAAAAACAAATCAAACAAACAACAAATGATCAATAGGTTATATGTCCATACCTACAACCATGTTTACACTACATTGAACAAATATGAATAAAATAAGCAACAAATACATCCAACCCACACCCCCTCGACTTGTTTCCTAGTGTTTAAAAGTTACAAGTGCACAACAGCCACTGATTTCGTCACACACGAAGAAGCATCCAATTGATGAGCCACCTGATTCCTCGAAACATGAACCCAATTCTTCTTCTTCTTCTTTTTCTTCCCCACATCACTCACATCAAACATAGTCAAAAAATCCAAAACCTGCCCAAAAATCTTAAACATCTCAACCCCCAAAATCAAATTCCTATCACCAACAAACACCGCATTCCAATCCATAGGAGCATCCGGATGCATACAAACCTCCCCCCACTTGAACCCCACAAAATCCAACTCCCACACCTTCCTAACCGCTTTATTCCTCCTCCCAATCTGCCCTTCCCCTTCACACCACGACACCATCACCATAAACAACCGTTTCTCACACGCAATAAGCTTCGGGTAATACTCATGAACCCTTGATCCCAATCTCATTGTTTGAATCCCAACCCAATACCCTTTCTCTATATCATACCCCACAAGATTATCACTCTCCGAGTAAACATAAAACACCCCATTACAAACAACACCCGAACACACCACTCCAAAATCAACCGGAACTTTCATAACTTCCACCCATTTGTTCGTACAAGAATCATAAATCTCACATGAATCCAACGCCTCCTCCCACGACCCGACCCCACCAACCGCAATAATCAAAAACCTTCTAGAATCTTTTCTTTTCACATGTTCGCTCTTTTGTCTACCAAACGAAACCTCGTTTTCATCAAGAGAGTATCGCAACTGACGCCTAACCGACAACCTATGCGGATCCTCGTACACATCCGACACCCCGCCCACCCGTGTCCTAACAACCCGTCTTTCTTGACGGTTGTTTTGCGATTTCACAACCACAAAATCCGATTTCACTTCGTATACTCCTAAAACCGGTTTTGACCTCGCGTGTTTCATGGACGCGACTTTATGCCATGAATTGGTCAAAGGGCTAAACACTAAAACCCCTTTGTGGGTTTTCACCGAGCTTCGGTCCAACTTCCCGAAATTGGTCAAACTTGAACAACCACCAACTACGTAAATGTTGTCTTGAATGTTAACAACCGAGAACATGAATCGACCTTTGAGAACCTCGGATTCAATTCTATGCCATTTGTTTAAAGAAACATCAAACGCGTGTATCTCACGTGAACAAAACCCGTCTTTCACGGCTCCAAAGAGAAACAACCACGGGGTTTGAAAAAGCCCGTCTCGCCTCATTTGCATGAACCGTGTTGTCGATGTTAAAGCCCGCCATTTCTTGCACACGAGGCGCGCTTTCATGAGACTGGTCAACGGAAGTCTTACCAAACACATTTCAACAATATCATCCGGAAGAAACACATGGGATACTTGTTGTTGTTGTTGTTGTTGTTGTGACTCTTCGACTTCTGTAAGCTTTCTATTGGTTCGTTTCCAAAACCGTTCTTTTACTCCATACGAGAAGCAGTCGATGGTGGTGTCATCGGGCCCACATACGGGTTTATAGTTATACCCTTTTGCTTCTTCGTTGGAACATGAAGGACGTCTCCGGCAATCGGAAAATTCGTCTCCGGTGGTGGCTCCGACCTTGCAACCGCCGCCACGTGTGTAGAGGGTTGGACATTTTATTGAAATGCCACGTGTGTTGTCCTCGTCATCGTCTACTATGTTTCCTTGGTTTTTTCTTTTTAACTTTTGGCTTAGGCTTCTTACGAGGCGTTTTGATACACTTAATACCTCGAGTTCTTGATTAAGTGATGTTTCATCGGTTAAATTTTCAGATATCATCTTTGGTTACTTTCTAGTATCTAATCATCAATCTCAAACCTGTCATATGAAAATTGTAGTTAACCATTTTTAAATTACATGAGCATTCTAATTTCATTTCTTCATGTGCTTTAAAAAATTTACTCAATTATAGCAATGTCATTCATGTACAAAGAAATTGTCATTGCTATAATTGGGTAGATTTTTCAAAGTATAGTGTCTGAAAAGAAAGAAATGAACATAGGATGCTATGTTACAAAAATAAATTAAAGTACATTAACATTTCATGCATTTAGCCCTTGTAACAAACTACCCTTTTACCATTTTATGTAAAACAAAAAGAAATCCTGGATTAATGTTATATTTTTTGGCATGGAAATTTTTTTGGGGAAAATAAAATTTTAGTTTGCCTAAAAAGATACGGTTTGGACATCTACACAATTCCAATATGCACAACTGCAATCTTGCAAAACCTCTTGTGAAGGTGTCTTAGGGAATATGATGAGGATAAGGAGGGCATTTATGTCTTTTGCACATTTGAAAGATCAAGAGAATGTAGCATAATTTATCTTGTCTTATTAACTAACAACTTCTTTACGCTCCATTTTGGGATAAAATCTTCTTGTTGTGTTGTTCTAACAGATGTTTGAGGTTTGAAGCATGAAAGTTACTAGTTTTAACGATTCAAGTTCTAATTTCTGATTACATTTTTAGTTTTTGTTGTTCCAGGATTTGCTTTAGTTTGAAATTCGAATTAGGTTTTAAGTTTTCTCAACTAAATTACCGTATATTCATGCCCTTACTTCGAATTGAAGATAAAGCCCTAAAGTGCACATTATGCAATTAAGTCAACAGCTCACAAGAACACGCAATTGAATTTAAACAGAAGTAAATACAATCACAGAAATTTCACAAATCAATGCACACAAACACACAGTGTGTAAACAAGATAAATCCAACAAAACGATTCATTTGGGAAAAAACACAGTAATGTGTGAAGATCACGAATTACACTTACCTCATCAAAGCACTTTAGCAACGAAAGAATCAGCCTTTACAAATCAAGGTTCTTGATCTGCGCATAAAGATCGATCCAGATGGAAGGGTAATGAAAAAAATTAGGAATTTCTGGAAAGATTCGAAGAGCTAACAGATCTTGTAACTGGAAACCAAAATCTTGAAATGGGAACAATGGGAGGAAAATTATTTGTTGGGTTTGAAGGTTTTTTGCTGATTTTAGTAAAGTTTAAAAGGCAAAAAGCAAAGAAGAAAAGAAAAGAAATTAAAATTCTGTTGTGGATGTGATGTGAGAGATGATGCATCTGGTTCTGGTGAGTCTCTTTTTTGAACTCAATCATCATACCGATGTGGTGGAGCATTTATTTCTTCACCTTTGCTTTTATATTTTTGCTCAATTATATATTATTATTATTATTATTATTATTATTATTATTATTATTATCTAATTATCATACATACTTATAAAGCTAGTATTTTTCCTTGAAACTCATGCATTTGAAACCCCCATAAAAATTTACAAACAACTCATACATTTGAAACCTCTTATTTTAATGAATATCACTCAAAAGTCTCTTAATAATGATTAACAATTCAAAGGTTTTATAACTTATATAATATATTTAATAAACAATTAATTGATACTCTACTATAAAAAGGTCAATCTTTTTTAGTAGACACACATACAAATCACATACAAAATTCACAAAAAAAACAAATTTAAAGTTTATGTGTTGGTTTGAGGGCTTTGAACAATTTTTCGAGCCATTTTATTATGTTGAAGTTTTAAATTTGTAAGTTTGTTATATACTAATTTTTTTTTTGTATTTTCTTGATTTAAGTATTCTTTTAAAAATATCATTGTATGTTGTGGTTGATGTTATCGATCATATGTTATGGAAGGTGATATATATAATATTTAATTAACTATTGTATACATGTTTGTATGTTCATGTTGCTTCAAAACAATAATTAATTAAAAATCATGGATATGTCATATTATCCATATTATCCATGTAAGCTTTTTTTAAAATGCAAATTGTCTATCTTATCACTTTATATTTTAATATATGTTTAACATTTTAGTTATAATAATAAGTGCTTTTTAAAAGTTTCTTTCACTTATTAATAATAACAAATGGTTTTAAAATTAATAAGCAATAATTATAAATAATAAAATCAAATTACATGGATATGTCATATTATCCATGCAAGTCTCTTTTGAAATGGAAATTGTCTATCTTATCACTTTATTATTTAGTGTATGTTTCACATTTT